TAAAAAACATGGAGGACCATACCGTGCAACATCTTAGTTTTAGGTAACTTTAATTAAAATGCATCACTGGACCAAGTGAGGAAAATTGCTGCATAATTTTGTGGGGGAAAAATTGTAACTTTGAAATGGCTGACTGAGTTGGCCTAACAGCTATTCTCACTTCAAAAACTGAACAATTTATAACGAATTCTTATCTTAAGGTGCTTCATTCCTAATCAAAAGAAGAGTAACTTCCAGTGATCTGAAGAGGGTCCATAGTTCTTCATTTTATTTGTTCAGAGGTTCTGTTGAATATATATATATATTTAATCTATACTAGCTAGTGCAGAGAGACTTTGACGGAGTGAGAGTTCTTCTCTTTGGGCTAGGAAGTATGGCACTTAGCTTGGAAAACACTTGAACCCATAAAGTGGCATTATTGTGGGGGCTCTTCAGTCAAGTGACATGAGAGGCTATCCTCAAATAGTGTTTTCTTGCTCTAGAATAAATGCACAATAATTTATTCTTTAGTGGTTTTCAGTTTTACAGAATGCTTTGCAATTGTTCTTATTCATGAGTATAAGCCCCCTAAAGTTGCCTTGGTGAGATGGGCAACATAGAAGACTAATAATAAAATCCATAAGCATTTTGTGACTGAAGTAATCAATTCAATAGTGTTTACTTTGGATTGGGAAATTCCAGATTGCCAGTTGGCATTTCAGCTGATGATCTTGGCCTAATCAATTTATTTATGTTAGCCTAATTTACCTTGTACGATTGCTATGAGGGTAAAATGGGAACAACAGTATGCAGGACATAAATGAAATAAAAGAAATAATGAGATTTCACCTTTGGGATTTGCAGATTGCCCTCTTCAGAGCTTCTAACATTGTTGACATGTTGGCAAGTGTTACCTATTAATTTTCTAATAGAAAATTGTATTGATTTTAATTCAATTATTTCTATTCTAATCTATTAGTTTTCCTTAGTGTAGTTGTAAATAGACATTCTTAATGGAGTTAGCACTTGACTTCCTGATTTATTGACATAAGAAATCATTGTTCAGGGCTGTCTCGTTGCCTGCTTTATGTATGCTGCCTCTATTGTTTTCAAAGTTTTCCAGTTGCCAATTTTTCTGAGCAGTTTCTATTATGCCAAATGAACCCATTTGTTTTAATATAATGAATGTAATAAATGCTTATTTTCCAAGCAAGCAAACAATTTGCTTGGGTTCTTAGGTTTACTGGCTTGGTAGAAGATAATACTGACCAAAAGTGACTTTTATAGTAATATTCTTTGTGATTCCTTTCAACTTTTATATAGAAAGGCAGAAAACATTTGAAACTAAAACACTGGAATGTACAGAATCCCAAGTGAACTGTGATACGATTCTAAGTTATAGATTGAGTAACACTGTGTTATTGCAATTACTGTATATTTCATAGTTGAATTTGTCTCATCTACTTTTTTTTCTTTAGATAACTTGTATTTTAATTGTAGCACAGAAAGTGGCTTCCTAAACATTAACAGTACAATCCTAGGTGGGTCTATTGAGAATTGTTAGTGAAAACTGTACAAAACAAGACATTATTTTCAACATTGTAATAGAATAATTCTGAGAGAATGCTGAATTGGTTTACACTAAGCCAAATTCACCAATCAAAACACCTTGTGACTTAACCTGATGTATGAACTCAGCAATCAGTTGAACATATTGTACTTGGAGCCTTAGAAAATATTACTGAGCGCCCATCGGGGATACATATTGACATACTGTAATTTTCTTGCAATAAATATGATGCAAATATGTAATTCTATAATTTTAATGCCATGGTAGTAGTTTGGGTACTAGTGAATTTTAATGTCCTGCAAGATACATACACTTGGTTGGCATGCTACGGTAGCTTCAGTTTAGTGCAGTGTTTTCCCAAGAATTTGTTATGGCTACCTAGATATACAAACTGTACTTCAGTCTTGGAAATAGTTCAGAAGCAATAAGGGTTTTTCCAGTAGTGTGACTCCCATGGGGGTGGGTGGGAGAGCTGAAAGACTAAGAAGATTGTAGGAAGAAACTGACTGAAGAGAAACAGGAAAAATTGCTAGCAAGAAAGATGGATTTAAGCTGTCTTGGACTGCTGAAGAGAAGCTTGTTCCAGGAGGATTCAGGACCATCTTGAATCAGTATAGTAATTGCTATTCAAAGCGGGTGTTGCAGTGTGGAATCTGGTTATTCTGTATAGATAAATATTCCGCAGAAGAAGTGGAATAAAAGGCACAAGAAACAGGATCCAGGTTTTTCTAACCGTGAGATTGTGAGGTAATATAACAAGCCTCTGATAAACTCTCTGGGGAATTTAATTTCCGTAGTTTAAGGAAGGCTCACAATAATATTTTAGTAGAAGCAGTATTATTACTAGCAGAGAAATTATTAACTTCCAATTGAAGAGCAATCGGGTCATAAAATAAGTATTATCCAAAGTCCTTTGAAGGCAGATGCCAGGAAGGAAGGAAAAAAAATATATATTGTATTTTCATTCTTGTTATGCTAAAAATGTAAAAAAAAAAAATCAGAAAGGTTCACTAGAGAAGTACTTTCTTGTGCTATAATTTGTATGATCAATCCTGATATTCCTATATGAAATGGTTGTATGCTTGATATGAATCCTCCCAATTACATATGCATTTAGAACTGCCAGAGAAAATTCCAGGAGCAGATAAAAACAATTATCAACTCAAAATATGTTATTTGAAATATGTGGTTTTTGTTAATAGCTATATCTGGGAATGGAATTTTCACTCAGATCACCAGCATCCACTGCAGTAATTAACACTGATACTTTTTTTAAAAAAAAAAAGACAATTCAAGTAATATAATTGATGTTTTAGTTTATTTTTAACTTGGGCTTACAGAGCTGTGCGGCCACAAAAAAATGAGGAAAATGATTATTTAAAAAATAAAACAATTTAAAACAATCCATATGTTAGTCAGTTTTTTCAAGTTTTTCAGACTAATCATCTTGGCTAAGTTAGCACAATATTCTGAACCATAAACCAGCCAAACACTTTTTAGTCTATTATGCTATATGAACCAAGGCTTGTACATTGCAAGTTGTACTAGTTTAAGGGTTAATTTACATTTTTCCGTATGTTAAATTTCATTTGCTTATCATGTTCTGTAAGGTAATTCATCTGGAATAAATACTAGACACCATAAAGTCCTTATTTCACCTATCAACATGCATTAAAAAGTAAATATGTTTTCATTCCTTATCTATCCTGTGAGTACAATTTAAGTTACAAAGCTTTGTTAAACAAAATGAAAATGAACAATCATTTGGGGAAACTGACAAGTGATTCATAGAATTGTGAGATATTGAAAAATCAAGACTATCTGCTTGGTGTCAGTTATTGGACCTCCAGTGAATATTCCATTTCATGAGGCAATGTATTACATTAGTTACCAAAGTAAATAGGAATTTCCTGTCCAATACCTAATCTGAATTTACTTTCCTGTAATTTCAACTCATTGGTTCTAATTCCGCCCACTGGGACAAATCCACTCCCTCTATACCTCTTCTCTCCTCAATTTTTTCTGCAGACTAAGTATACCGATTTCCTTTAATAGTTCCTCGCAGGACTTGGTTACTACTAAAACATTTAGAATGTAGGAAGAACTACTCAGCCAATGAAAGATTCAGATAGCTTCCTGGAATGTTGAGAATTTCAGCTACAGTCCTTCCAATCCACTATCTTGCCCATATTAGCTGGGACTGATGGTTATTGTAATTCCAACCATTTGGTTACTAGTTTAGGGAAGACTGGGTTAAGCTGCTTCTGTGATCACCTTCAAAACATTTCTCTTGGCTGAGGCTGAGACACTTGACTTTGAGCATCCCAGTCCAAAATATTCTATAAGGGAGGTATATTTATTTAAAAATGTATAAAGCACTTCGCACAAAAGTCAGCATAGAAATCATATGCAATACAATATTAAAAGAACAAACATTAATATAATTGAGAGGCACATTTAACCAATTACAAAAAATGATTTCAAGTTAAGGTGGCTGGAGAAATAAAACATGTTATGAATACCATGTAATGTCACCTGTACATTCACAGTGCACTGCAGAAAAGGATGCCATCACAAAATAGGCCATCTCTGTTGTGGATGCATGATGTATCTTTTTAGGTTTGAAAGAAAAAGGTCTCATCTGAAGATAATGCACAAGTAGATAAACACAGGATAATCATTCCGTCATATGTTTGAAACTTGTCTTATTAGCAAACTGACAGCTGGTATAATTGGTTTTAATGACTACCTAGCCATTTCAGATGACAATCGAACTGCAAATTATGCACCAGTGTTAACATGTAACACTCTGGTAAAGAGAGGTAGATAAATACTTAATTGTGGGCTATAGTCATCTAAGATGAGATTTTTGATCATGCAGGGTAGGATTCCATTCATCCCTTCTGGTTTTTTTGTGCATTTCCCAAATCTGCTTCAGATACTCTCTGATTTCCAAAGCGTGTCTGTCTGTCATCTGTTTCTTTGTATAGCTATCCATCTCACACAATTACTCTGGGTAGCATACATATCCATAATCAATAATATATAAAACCATTAAAACCACCAATTTAAAAATTAGAATAAAAATAGATAAAAATATTTTTTGTGACTATGTGGGAAGATATAGGAACAGAAGGAGAATCCATTTCATTACTAATGTCCATTCCATTGTGAAAGGACAGAACCAGATACTTTGTATAATCACAATAGCAGCAATCATTACAGAAGCAGAAAGTTACTTATTTGCTCTATGGCCTTGGCTGCCCCCTTTTTAGAAGAGTTATCAGCTTTATTTTTAAATAAATATTGGCTTGTTATGCACTTGCCTTGCCTAGACTGTTTCAGTTCTCATATATGTTTAGAAAAGAATAGCAATTAAATGAATTGCTATTTTCAGAGAAAGGAAACAGGAACTGGAAGATAGCAGTTACCTAAACAAGTAGCCTGTTAAAGGAAAAAAAGGACCAAGCTTCACTCTTTATCTTTAATCTTCAAAAATAATGTATAAGGTACTTTGGATTTAGCTCAGACATGAGATACTTCTTCCTCACAAGTTTTCCCAGTTCCCTTTCATTTATGGCAAGCCATACTTATGGACAACTATGCCGAGTGCCATGGAGACATTACATGCCCCCTCTTTCAGCAAATTTTGGGCAACACTGCTTTTTCTATCTTTTGCCATCAGAATGTCAAGAGAGCCAATCTATAACCTTCATCTGGAACAACTTCATTTGGCTTTTCTACTACATCTCATGATGCTTTAAGATACTGCTCCCCATGCCCAATTTGGAGGAACTGCTCAAAACTATTTTTCTGCCATTATCTGCTCATATCAAAATTAAATGGGAACTAAAATAACTAATAGGGAAATCTAAGAATGTTCCGTCTTGTATAGTACAGGCTCGAAAAAGAAGATCAGGAAGATAATATGGTAGACACTGGAAGCTGACTGGAGGGCAGATTGGAAGACAGGTGATGTAATGTCAATTCCGTTTCTTGTTATGTGATGTGGCTTCTACCTCAAGGTACTGTAGCCCAATCAGCATTCCCAGGATGGAGAAACCTGAAAGATGGAAATTGAGCAAGAACAGAGAATAAAAATATTAAAAAATCTCATACCCTAAAAAAAAAAGGCTTGTTGCATTTGGCTGTAGAAAACTCCAGGTTAAGTTTCCAGTATGGTTCTAAACAAATAATTATCATTCCACCTAAGCAGTCTCACAAAAGTGAAAATCCTGCTAAAAAATTAATGGAGGAAATAAACACAATTCACAGAAAATGATAAGCAGCTCAGTAAGTACTTACTTGCCACCATTAAGGGTGCCAGGACACCAATCGTTGCAGCTGCTGTGCCATAAATAAACAACTCAGAGAGGAAGTGGCCCAGGGCAATGAAGAAGGTCAAAAGTGTGATGTTATAGAGGCTGTCAGAGAGTTCACAAAGAAAGGATTATTGTGTGGTATAAAGATGACACATTGTGTGGTATAAAGATCAGAGTCAGGAAGTTGAGAATCTGAAAGCAAATGAGTATGCTGTACCTTTGCATCTTTAGTCAGGCAATGGTGTCTGCATCTCTTGGAAACTAGAGAGAGTACTGTACCCTGTTGCTCAAAAGTTACTTCTAGCAAGTTGAATCAGTGTTCCTACCATCCATAAACACCATAGAAACCAGTTTCTAGACAGATTAATGGGTTCAACATAGCCCGAACTGAAGAGTACTAAAAACTTCTAATTGTTTAGAATTGCCTGGATCAAAGCAGAATAGATTTTAAAACCTGACATTTGGGCAGATAAAATTGCAGAGCGATGCTGTATTACATCTTGTTTCTCTTGACTTCTAGAAACAAAGTTTGTGCCTTAATACAGAACTTATTGTTTTCCTATTGTACAAAGAAACATACAACACTAGATGTATATTCTTTTAGAAAACTACAAATGATGAAAAATATGAAAATGTAAATCATATGTGGTATAGAACTGTCAGTAGAAGAGTAATACTAGCAGAAGAAGGAGATTACTCCTTATTAGATACCAGAACTTTGACTTTTTGATTTCAGAGGTCTAACTAGACACAAATTAGGGACTAATATTATTCTTACATAACTGCTCTACTAAGCATTTCCTTCTTTATGCCTGGTACAAGCCTTTTAAGACAACAATATTCACCAAATGTATAAACAAGTTGAAAAAGATTTCTGGATGACCAACTGCATTACGACTGTAAGGGAAAAGAGTATATTAAAGAGGATTGGTAGTGAATTGTTCCTTTTACTACGGTATTTATTTTTAGTATCCATTTTACTTACGTCTTGTTGCGGATATCAATGGCACAGTAGCAGCGAATCACAGAAGACAACAAGGTCCAAATGCCAAAGGTTCGAGCTTGGAGACCATTTACTGAATAGAAAAAATATAAATTATAAGATATAAATTACACCAATTTATTTATGTATATGTTTCCAAACAGAACTTAGTAGTATACCCAGCAGCCTACAATATATAATGGACTTGAAAATTATTCTAAGGATCAAGGGTTTTCAGTCCTGAAATGACACTCAGTAGAGGAAATGCCTGATATGGAAAATAAATTACACTGTAACTGAAGCATTTGTTATAGCCTGACTGTTCTAAGGAAAGAATGGGCACTAAACAAAATAAACCTCTGGATAAAAGGAGAATAAACAATATTTAAGGCAAAAAGACATTTCAAAATTGACATTTTAAGATTTGAATAAACATTTCTTTGCAATACAGGCAAAATACAGATCCCATTTTTAGATTCACAAAATTACTTTATAAATCTTACCAAGGCCTGGCTTGCCTGTATACAATTTTTCAGAAAGGAAACTGTGGTCTCTGAAGCTTTGCACTGTGTTCCCCATGGCAATTATGGACACCATAACTAGCCAACTACGAAGTACATTCAAGAACCGGCTCATCTTAGAAGTGGCAAGACACAGTCTGTCATGTGAAGAAATAAAGAATCAAGAGTTTGAGACACGTCTCCTATTTTAGACTTTGTAGTCATACTTACTATGCCACTCATGCTTTGCAGCATTTCCTTTTAAGTTGTATATAGTTTTGTGGAACAACTAGGTCAGGCCATTTTGCTGCAAATGATAAGAAGGAATCTTCTCATGTTCCAATATAAAACTAAAATGGAAAACTATTTTAAAAATGGCAGTAGTGTTTTTCAATGTGCTTGAAGCCCAAAGAAAGGAAAGAGGAAAATCTGTTGCAAATGCATCTTTCAAGCAAAGCAAATTTAGAAAAATACGAAGACAATTTCCCAGTTAATACATAAAGCAGGCTTCCTTCCTTCTAATCTTTCCAGATATAATGGAGCTAAAGCTTCTAGAATGTCCAAGTAGGTTAGTATTTCTCAGTGCTTTTTTTCAAAAAAAAAAAAAGGTGCTGGAACTCACACACATCATACAACCCGCTTTGCCTACCCTACAAGGTTCCATTCAAAAAAGGTGCCGGAACTCCGTTCTGGGCGTTCTATGAGAAAAAAAGCCCTGGTATTTCTAGAAGTTACAGTTTTAGTGGATCTAAAAGACACCAGGTGGTAAAAACTAGTCAATTAAATAGAACCAATCATCTTGCATTAAATCAACTCCCATAAACTTTATATAGAAAAGGCAGCTAGTTGCTAAAAACAAACAAAAGAGCAATTCTTCCATGAACACATTTAACAACTGTACTGTTTAAATAACTCACAAGGAGAGGTATCTTCATTCACTGTTCCTGTTCTACTTTCCCTTATATAAAAGCTTTCTTTTAGGATTTTATTCTATATATGAATCAACCCAGGTACAGTATATATAACCACTAGCAAAGCTGAAGGTGTGTATTTTGCTCTCATCCATCCGACTAGAGAAATGAGCCCAGAAGAAACCTGCCTGTCCCTTGGAACAGAGACCAACCTCACTGCATCCATAAGTCAGAAGAAAAACAACCCGAAGACGCTTTCTTTGCCTTCTTCTCCCGACAAATGCTTTGAGCAGGGAGAGGGACGGAGCAGCACAGTCTGCCCTGATCATCATTCTGCTCCTTACCACGTTTTAGCCTTGAATAAGTTATTTCTTCTCTTCCTTTGTAATTTTCGGTGACATGTTAAATGGTGGGTCTGTTTCCCGTTTTATTACGAAGGATTGCAAAATGGAACGAAGTGGCGATACCTACATAAAATTTTAGGAATTCTCTCCGAATGTCTCCTTGCTCCCTTCGATTCTTACACTGCAAGCCATCTTGCCCTGCACCTAATCCCTACCATGCACGTCGCACCCTTTGGTTCTCCCCATGCAACCCCCACCATCAGCACCATTCAGGTCTTACTTCACCCCCACCTGGCTTGCGGGCGTACCAGATTTGCAGCTCACCTCCAACTTATGGAGTACGAGCCCCGCCCCTTCTGAGTTCGCGTAATGATTGGTCCCCTGTCAGACGTCGGCTTTTCCTGGTTGGTCTGTCTGTCCCTCTCTAAACCGTCACATGGATGGGAAGGCGGCTGTGCCTATGAAATGCGCAGAATCCTTCTGAGGCATTATGACGTCGAATTCGAAGGTGTGGGTGGAAGAACCCTAGAGCATCATTTTAGCTTCTCTTTTTAAAAAAAGAGAATCTTGATGACGCCGTTTGAGAAGAGGCGAAAGAAAAGAGGACCGGAAACGTGCGCATGCGTATGGAGAAGGGCACCGGCGGGAGCCGAGAATTGGCGCTTGCGCAAATGTGCCTCCTGTAAAGGGGGAGACGGTTGTCTGTTGGTTGTTGTAGTAACAGGAGAAGCGCTGAGAAGGGGAATCGTGACTGCCGGGCCCCAAAGAGGATGAAGCAGCAGGTATGGCCGCGAGCGGGGTTTAGGAACAGTGGCTGGGTGCATGCATAGAACTTGCTTGGACAAGAAGTCGACCCTCGCAGATGGAAGGTAGCTTTCCATTCATGGTAGAGATGACCGGCATCCACGGGATGGAAAGAGCTGGCATGAAATTCGCGGACCGACCGCAAAGTTCGCGGAATTCAAGCAGTGCTTGAAGTTCCGGAGCTTTCCGGCACAATTTCTGATCCCTTCCTCCCTAAGAACCAGGAGTGCGATTCCCATGAAACGGACAAGCGAGTCCTCCGGCAAAGATTGCCGCCTCTTCCCGCTGAGAGGCAGTGCCATCTTCTTTACCGCGGGCCCGGCCCCTCCGTGTCCTCTTACTTTCGTTTCTTTGCCAAAATCCTGCAAAGAAAAGTTTTGATTGCGAACTGACTTTTATACACTGGTGCTTCCTGAACGAGAGAAGTATTGCAGGTAGCTGTTGAAATCCTCCGAAAATGTATCCCAGGAGTCACAGAAAGGGAAGACAGTGTTTAAGACAGAGGTAGTCAACCTTGGCTCTTTTATGACTCGTGGACTTCAACTCCCAGAATTCCTGAGCCAGCCATGCTGGCTCAGGAATTCTGGGAGTTGAAGTCCACGAGTCATAAAAGAGCCAAGGTTGACTCTCCCTGGCTTTAAGACAAGGTAGTTGAATATCATTGAACCATGTTTTTGATTACTGGCAGTTTTGAGGTATGAGGACCTGTTTCTTGCACAGAAGATTGACAGAGCCCAGCAAAGGTTTCTAAGATTCCTTAGCAATAGCTGTTTCTGATACTGTATGCTTTAGACTCCTTATGTTTACATGATCTAATTTCATGCAGTGGGTCATGTGTTTTACTTTTGATCTCTGGGTATGTTTTGTTATATTGCCGCTGGATTGTATATATGAATCAGATCTGTTAAGAGGAAGGCAAGCTTAAGGATGGCGATTCAGTGCCAAATACAAAATGAGAATGTTATATTCTTGTGCAGCAAGAAAGTGGATGGGAAGAGAACGTGGATTCTTTTCCCCATCTTTTTTTCTGCTGCTGCTCCCATTTTGATTTCCTTTCAGCTATTTTGCTCCTAACAAGGTTCTCAGAAGAATGGTTGAGGGAAGGAAGCTAAATTACTCTTCACTCCTTCCTTACACCATTCCTGATCTAATTATTAAAATAATTTAATTGGGCATGTTAGGGTCCTGTCAACCAAGGAATATCATATGGCGGGGATTAGGAGACATGCCGTAACCCTTTCCCTCTGAAACATTCCCCTTTCAGGGATTAGGATCACCCTAACCTTGTTGGCCTTTTGTAAGGCCTTGTAGACCTGGCTATATGCCCTGACAGGGACCTGAGTGTCTTAAGGGTCCTGTTTCTTGACTGAATTAACAACTATGGCAATAGTTTTACTCATTGGTTATATATAATTGTTTTATTTTTTATGATGTATGCCACTCAGAGTTACTTGTTGAAACAGAATTCAAATAAATGAGTATATTTTTTATTTTATTTATATCCTGCCTGTACTATTTTTACAAATAGCTTAAGGTAGTGAACATATCCAAAATACCTTCCTCCTATTTCCCCCACAACAACAAACCTATGAGGTGGGTTGGGTTGAGAGAAAGTGAGTGGCCCAAAGTCATCCAGCTAATACAGTGACAGCCCCCTGGTTGAATTAAAAATTAAAATGCCTGGAAACTGTATGTGTACTTTCTACTAAGAAGCTTGACTATTGCATATCTTCATTTTACTCTGATAATTGATTTTTCATTTTCTTCATAGAATATAGCACTGGTTAGATTTTCTGATTCTACAGTGAAAATATTAAGGGTTCATTGTTTCTGGGCTGTGTGAAAACATACACAGGATATGCCAGTTGGAATGGCTCGGGATTTGGAAGAAACAGATTCATCTTCAGAGGAAGAGGAAGAAATGGAAGGGCCAGAGTAAGTTAAAACTTATAATTGTATATTGTGTAAATTACTATGGAAATTTAAGTCTAACATTCTTAAAAAATGAACAATGAAAGCTTGAAGGGCTAGTTTTTATTAGAAATATGGAATGTCAATGAGTTATGAGTGTGCATGTTCAGTGTGTAGCTTCAGGGCTGCTATTACACTTATCCTTATTCTGCTGTGGGCATTCAGCCAGAATTAGTGAGAATTAACTTCATCCTTAGGATGAGGGTTCACACATAAGGCATGTTCTTAGTTACCCTAGGTAACCAGATGCCTTTAATGATCTTAAAGTAAACACTGAGGTCTGCCGGTAGTTTTAAGTATGTTCAATTAAACACACATGCAGGTTCCAAATCTCTGGAAAATTGATAAATGCATGCTTATCCTTGCAAACCTTAGCACCAACCTGGAGACTAACAGAGGAGCTAGACACATTAAGGTTTTAGGGGAAAGATTTAAAGGCACAATATTGTTCTTGCTAGACTTTTATCGCTTGTGTGTGCAGGCTACTTTTCCTTGTAATTCTGGAAGTAGATAGGTGGGTTACAAGAGAACATAAATGGAACTATTGTGTAAATGTATGAAGCTGTCTTTGATTACGGTACCAGTACATTCTAGGTCAGAACTTAGATTCTTCATGATCTCAAGCAGAGATCTTTCATATTTATTTGATCCTTTAGCTGGGAATTCGGTCTTGTGCCTTTTATATGCAAACATGAATTGTATTCTTTGAATTGTGATCCCTGGTGAAAAGTTGTCCTTTCCTATCATTGAGGGTTATTTCTTAGCTTACTTTAATATTAAGTCTTTATTTACACGAGTCTGCTTCTTGTTCCCCTATAGGAAGCTATGTTTATAAGCATAGATTTATAAACAATATGGCTTGGTTTACCAAACTTTTTTTTTGTTTTTCATCATTTCTCTCCTACCCATTAATTTCTCTTGCCGTAGAAAACTGGCAGAATGTCCTTCATTTATACTGTAGTTTGACCAAAGTAGGAAACGGTATATAAACTTTTACAATTTTACATTCAAACTGGAAAACAAATGAGATAATACAGATGATAGAAGAGAACTGGAAAGGGATATTTAGGCATTGGGTCTAATCCAGAGTTCGCCAACGTTTCTGGCTTTGCGTACTGGCACAGGGGAAGGGAGAGAGTATAGTTCCGTGCGAGCGGTAGGCAAGTGTGCATGTGTGCACAGCTCCATTTGCACGAGTGTCAGACACGTGCATGTGCGCCGCTCATGCAACGAGCACGCATGCATACACTCACCCACTGCTCGTGCAAGGGGGGGCGGATGCATGTGCTTGCCCACCACTTCAGGCAGTCTGGTTTTGATCAGCTGGGTTGGGACCCCTGCACTAGACCACCTTTCATATATGGTAACCAGATTTGGATATTATATCTTAAGCACCAGATTAAGTTTAGAGAAATGCCACTAAGATTATTTACTAGAAAGTAAAGAGAAAAAAAAAGGTTAACCATGAGAAGACAAGACTGTGAAAGTGTATATTTTAAATACCTTGAATTATGTCATTCAGAAAATCAAGAGCTAATTCAGAAGATCAAGAGCTTTGAACTTCGTAGTTCAAAGGCAGAAGCAATTATTAAAAAAACTAGGAATCTCCCTTCACTGAAAGTGTTCAAGCAAGGATAAAACTGCCATCTGTCAAGGATGCTTTAATTTAGATTCATGTATTGATTAAACCAGGGGTCCCCAGCCCCTGGTCCGTGGACCAGCACCAGTCCACAGCATGCCAGCAACAAGTCCGCGCAAACAAGTGAAGCCCCATCTGCGGGATGTAGGCAGCACGCAAAATTACACCCCCTCCAGTCCGCAGAGAAACCTTTCTCCGCGGAACTGGTCCCTGGTGCCCAAAAGGTCGGGGGCTTCTGGCCTAGTGGGACACATAGCATCTTATTGGAAAAACTGAGCTGAAATGAGAGTAAAATAATTATGTCTTTTCTTGACTACCTTTTAATATTTTTCTCGTTACTGGAAATAGCTGTGTCTTGGTTTTTTTCTTTCTAATTATTTATATATCTGAAGGGTCCTTCTATTTGTTATTGATGTCAGTCTCCTATTACAACCTCATTTTTTTTTTAGTTTTCTGATAACCATTTCTGTAGCTGAGAGGTATATGCATTCTGCCTTGATAACCTGATCTTTTTACTGCATAGGTGTGATTCTTTCAAATCTTTGCTAAGCTTTATGTACAGTTCTCTTCTTTTGCTGTCTTCCTATTATTTTCTTCAATGAAATTGTTAACAATCTTTCACCTGGATTTCCGAGGAAGCTCACTTGAACTAATAAGCATAGATCAATGAATATCATTGCTTATTCAGAAACTTTGTATGATATTTCAGAGTCACTTTGGACAGTGAGAGGGTGGCATAAATTTATATAATAGTACAATAAATACTTGTGGATAAGATGCAAGTATGACACTCATATCTGGTATTATCCAAACCCAGAAAAGAGTAAATGACAACATATTTTAGTCTGTTTATTTTCAGATAGTGTATTAACTTAGGTTTAAAACGTACTATTTGTAGATTTTTTCTCTTCCATATTAGCAGATAGGTAAGCAGTTGCTTTTTGAAAAAGCATCTTTGGGTACTTACTTACTCACTTATTCCATATTTAATATTTGCCTGAATTTTCGCTATATTATGTTCTATTTTATGACAATCAGTTGATATGGGTTCTCTGTAGTCTCTAAAATTATAATTGCCTTTCTCTATATAACATTAGAGTTTGGTTTGGTTCCAGCTTTTGGGAGGAGTTCTCTGAAGGCTTCACCCAAGCATTTTAGGAGCTGCAATGTATCTGTGTCATAAGTAATAATAAACTAAGCCGTTCAGTATTGCTTACAGGATTACCTATAAGCATATGTGTTGACTTACATCTAAAATACTGTTCCTTCTGTAAGATCTAGAACGGGCATGCCTGTTGCCTTTATACTGAATTTCAGTTACAATTATTGCTTTATTACTATCTTGTGATTCTGATATGGCAATTCTGCAGTTATCTTCTTTCAATCACCTTATCATGCCTTGTTCTAAAAAGGCCCATAGCTTTTTACGTAGGGAAATTGGGGCTAACCTCCTAATAAAATAAAAGGAAGAGGTATGTCATTTTTAAAGGGCACTAATAAGATCTGTAATATTTTCTTTAGCACTATACTTTAGTCTCTTTCCATTTGGATTATAGATAGTCCCCGACTGACGACCATTCATTTAACGGCTGAAGTTATAACAACATTAAAAAATATTATGACCAGTCCTTGCACTTAACAACTGTCACAGTGTCTCTGTAGTCACATGATTGCAATTTTGGACACTTGGGAACAATTACACTGTCCTGGGGTTATAGGATCACTATTTGTGACCTTCACAGTCAGCTTCTGTCAAGCAATCTCAATGGGGAAGCTGGATTCGTTTAATGGCCAAGGCATGAAAGGCCATAAATCGGGCATGGTCACATGATGATTGCACTCCATTGCATTGCTTAGTGATGGAGGTTCTGGTCCCAATTATAGCCATAAGCTGAGGACTAACTGTACTGCAATGTACTTTACATGGGGCTGCCCTTGAAAATCACTTGGAAGTTACAGGTGGTCCAAAATGCAGTAGTGTGCACAGTATCAGATGTTCCTAGGTTTGCCCCAATTATATTTTTATTGTGTGAGCTGCCCCGATTCCCAGGTTCTTTTCGGTGTAATTCAAAATACTGGATATCACTAGTACAGGATCTGGTTATTTGTGAGACTGCCTCTCCTTAAGAATATCTGCTCATCCCATCAGATCAGATAGGTAGGCATACTCCAGATCCCTTCCCTGAAATCCTGCCACTTAGTGGGATCTCAGAAGTGTGCCTTTTCTGTGGCTGTTCCTAATTTATGGAACTTTTTTGCCCTGGTGATTCAACAAGCTTTTAGCTTTCTGGAAGGCCATCAAGTCCTGACTTTTTACTGAGGTGCTGGAATAGGGTAGACTGGAATAGAGAGAATGGAATGAGGGTAATTGGGGCTTGCTGTGGGGGCATCCTAAGGGGAGGATTAAGGCATCAGGTTTTAATTTTTGTTTGATGATTTTACGAAATTATGATTATGTTTTATGGTTACTGGATTTTATTGCTACTGTGGACTGACCAGAGGTTAAGATGTGTGGCCATACAAATCTTTTAAGTAAATAAATAAAATTTGGAGGGATAGTGTCAAGTGCAAAGAATCAGGACCTTTATAAGATTGCATCATAGAAGATGTATTTAAGTCTACATACAAGAATTTGGTCAACTAAAGTTCAACACTAAATTGGTGTCAATGGAATTGAGGAGGGGCTGGGCTTGGAATGTTTGTGGGAACTGAGGATGCGCTCAACTCTGCCTCCCCCCCCCCCAGCTCTGGCTTCTCTTTTCCTACAGAAAGCATTTTTTACACAATATTTGCAGATATAGAATAGAATTAAGATGCAGCTCTGAAATAATTTTATTTTATCCCAGACTTTAAATATTCATTGAAACACGTATTTAAACACTTGTATTTCTATTATTCAGGTCCCTCTTTTAATACTTTTTTCTGCCCAGTTTCTAAAGGGAGTACAGGTAGTCCTTTACTTATGACCACAATTGAGCCCAAAATTTCTGTTGCTAAGTGAGACATTTGTTAAGTTGAGTTTTACGACCTTTCTTGCCCAATTGTTAAGTGAATCGCTGCAGTTGTTAATTTAGTAACATGGTTGTTAAGTGAATCTGGCTTCCCCATTGACTTTATCAGAAGGTTGCAAAAGGTGATCACATGACCGCAGGACACTGCAACCATCATAAATATGAACCAGTTGCCAGGCATCTGAATTTTGATCCTATGACCAATGGGATATTGCAACGGTCGTAAGTGTGAAAAAAGTCATAACTCACTTTTTTCAGTGCCATTGTAACTTTGAACAGTCACTAAATGAACTGTTGTAAGTTGAGTATTACCTGTACATATTTTTGCATAAAGAGAAATTTTATGATTGTACATGTTGTATTGTCCTGAATCATGCATTGCTTTGAGGGAGGATTGTTCCTATCTCTCTAGTACAGACATGTCAAACGCAAGGCCCAGGGGCCGGATGCGGCCCGCAAAGTGGTTTCAGGTGGCCCGCGAAGCCATCCTGGAAACAGTGAGGGAACGGCCCCCGCTGCCTTGGCCCTGGCCCAGGCCAGCCAGGAGCCAATGTACAATTTTGTGATGGCCATCTTGGCACTTGCCCCGGTGGACCATGCCTTGGCACTTGCCCCCGGTCCCACCCCCTTCTGCCAGAGACCCTCAGATCTGCCCCACTCCTGCCCAGGCCCCCATAGGCCCCCTTGACGCGAATGATGTAGAACTGGTCACGCCCACCCAGTAGGCCACACCCACTCCATCCACACCCACCCAGTAGGCTACACCCACTCTGCCCCCCCCACCTGCCCCCCCCAGGGCAACCGCAGTGCTGATGCGGTCCTCAGTGAAATTGAGTTTGACACCCCTGCTCTAGTATCTTATTGACTTTTCTACTAATGATATAACAGTGGAAGCTGCTGGATAATAATTTGTTTCATATTTGTGCAAATTTGAGTTCAGGTATGTTCATATATAATAGGAAGTGTTTAGTAGCTTATAAGATAGAATTTAGCTGAGCTCACTTCTGCGTGTCCTTTTGGGCCCACTGTGAATCTTCAACAGGCAATCCACCAACTTTCCAGATTTGCTCTTACAGGGTTGGAAGATAAGAGGAGAAAGAATCTATTCCTCTGGAAGTAGCAGTTTCAGCTAATGTAGTGGTATATGACTTATAATATTCCTGGTGAATTCAGAGATCTCCAAAGGGTACTGTTGAACTATAATTTTCAGTTTTTAATATTAAAGAGAAAAAACGTTAAGTACATGTGGAAAGGTGTGTGTGTGTGTGTGTGTGTGTGTGTGTGTGTGTGTAATATATTATTTGCTATGTGTTTTTCTATGTGCTGTCTGGGCAATTGTCAACATTTCTGTATTTGGGTGAGGCTTAATAGTAGCCCAGCAACATGATGCTTGCTGAGGTGTTGCTGTAGTATATGTTGCCACAATACATAGAGAGATTCTGTCCTGATTTACAAAGAACTACATGAGGAAAATGTAAGTGTCTATCCTATATTTTTATTCTAATACTATGTTAAAAAGAAGAAAAAGCTCTTTTCCAGACAACAATTCTTAATCTTGGATCGAGAAAAATAGGTTTCTTAAAAAATATTGGTAATCAAAAATAGTGTCTGAATTAAGGATAATGCCTAAATTAAAGACTACTTGTCTTCTGAAATGAGGCAGTGCTTATATAATTAAGGTAGTTATTTCTTATCTTTTAAAAAGGTTTTCTTTTTTTTAGGGAGCACCCATGTATCATGTGGACAGGTGGATTCAGGAGGATTCCAATCATGGTATTTCATGCTGAAGCTATTCTAACCAAGGACAGTTACATCCGCTTGATTGGGGGTAAATCTTGTTTTTCTCAAGTACCTATATCACCTAGAGTAGATAAAATAAAATTATTGAAAGACAAGATTTACTTGGCATACTGATAATCTTTTACAAATAATTTTTTAAATACATTAAGCTACAGTTTTCAAGTATTTTCAAATACAACACACGAAACAAATTACATTGTCTAAAAAAAAAAACTGCTATGATTTTAAGATTTCTTTAAGAGGACACATTTTAAAGAGTATTCTTTATATAACCACTGGAGGTTATAAGACCTAAAAATACAGTACTGTGCTTTGTCTAAGTGCTTGTAAGGATTAAGAATCTTTGTTTTGTATGTTATATTTACCTGAAATGAAGTTGACTTTGAATTTAAGATAACCAAAGAAAAAGAGAACATAAATACCAAACATCTGCACAGTGTCCAGCTTTTCAAACTTTTTAACCAATGGTTGCTCCCATGTGATCCATTTGTATACAGTCTGCATGCATGTATCTGCCACATACCATAATTTAAAAGACACAGGGACTGGATACATCTTTAATGATGTATTAATTTTAATGTTGATTAATTCGTATATCTTTATCTACTTTGAATGCATTCATGTGAATAGAGAACCCTGTCTCTCAGCGAAACATATAAATAAATGTACATACATAAGGGAAGGCTAATAGATTGCTCTGTTGTACAGCTCTTATATAGAATAGAATAAATGAAAAAATGTTCTGAGAAAATTTCTCCCTTTTTACAACTGGTAAAATAGATTATAATTTGATTTGTATAATAATTCTGTATTCTGTTCCCAGAGCGCTATCACTTGTCTTTTAAAATTGTGAGAACGGACAGTCGCTTGGTGCGTAGCATTCTGTCAGCTCATGGATTTCGGGAGGTATGTTTATTAATTTTTGTGAATTTCATGGCCCTAAAAAATTAAATCTGCGTTGCTTTTACATCCAAAAGATCACTATGGATCCAGAGTAAACTGAAGCCAATCAAAAAAAGCAAAAGGTCTCTTCTCCTTTAATTTGATGTCTTGTCTAGCATTTCTAATGCTACAAATTATATTTCTTTCTCTTATATGATGTGTTTGAGAGAGATTTTGCTTGAGGTTCTTGGTGCGCTTATAGTAGTCCCGAAGAAGCTCAATTTGTAGAAATGACTGTACATATTTCTGCAAAGAGTATGTGCAGTCTGTCATAAATATAGAATAAATGGCAAACTTAAGATCAACATGTAACAACTGTAAATTTTCATAAGTGGACAGCATTTTTTCTGGACTAGAATTCAGATTGTCCCTACTTTTTAATAATCATTTACTTTACTACAATTATTTCAAACCGGTGGCATTCTTCTGGTTGATGATGCTTTTCTGATAGCGTTAACATTTTAATAATTTCCTTTCCTCTGGGTGGAAGACCCTTCAGAGCACATTGTGAAAGGAAAGGAAGTTGACAAGTCCTATTGCATGAGTGAAATAGTTCTCTCTTAACTTTGAATGCTGTCCAAGGTATAGATTCTGAGGTAATAAAATGTTATTCAGCTGGTTAGCTATTAAAATGTTCAACCATGTCTTTTTCCAGGTGCATCCCAGCAGCAATGAATATAACCTTATGTGGACAGGATCACATTTAAAACCCTACGTTCTGCGAACTCTCACAGATATTCAAAAAGTGAATCACTTTCCCAGGTAAGAAGCGGAGTCTTATGATAATGTTATGACACAGAACAGAGATGAATGACCTGCAGCCCTAGAATCACATGTAGCTTTCTTCCAGACATTTGCTGCTAAAAGAGAATTGTCAGTATCAAAGAAAAGATTATTACGAACATGGGGAAGAATTATGTTCATTTTATTTAAATACATTAAATCAGAGTTTCCCCAACATTTCCATGTTGGAGGCCCAGAGGGGAGAAGGGGAAAGAGGGGATGGTTTTGTGTGAGGGGCAGGTGTGTGCGCATGCAACCACCTGTTGCTTGTGCGAGTGGGGCTGAGAGCACCCTTGATGCTTGCGTGTTGCGAATAGGTCACAGACGGGTAGCGGGGCATGGCCCACAGGTCAGGGACCCCTGCATTAAAGTAAATTTAAGTTTTGTTCCTGCCTGACTCATTCTGTACAGAGTGATGCTCTATCTGACAAAAGTTGCAGATCATTAATATTTCCCTTTCTTCCAAGTGCCCAGCTTTATTCTAAAGGTTCAGTAAAAACACAGATAAACTGTTAAATTAAAAACAAAAAAGCTTTTATCAAGACCTTTGCTTTTGCTAATATTTCTGATTGCTAAAAATTAGTAAATCTTGATGACATCTTTTACTGTTTGGGATATAAGAGTGTGTGGGTAAGTGAAGATGTGGGTGTGACCAGAGCAAAACAAAATTAACAAATATATTCCCTCAATCCTTTCGTGTACTACTATTATCTAGTGCCAGTGCTATTTAAATTTACCTTTAATTTAGCCAGTGGAAATTGGTAGTAGAGATTACTATAAAAAATCTTGGGATACTGCAAGTTGTGTTCCCTTGTTGAACAATTCTACAAATTTGGCATATTCGTGTCCTTGGATAGATTACGTGTGAATGGGTATACCGTATGTAAACAGGCAAAGTGTGAGTGTGGGATAATGAATATTTTAAGAGTAATAGAATGCAGCTGTCCACATTGAATCCAAGTTTATCTTGAAAAGATTGTAATACTTGACTGAAAAAAGATTGTGCATTTCTATTTAGAGGTGACTTCAATTAGGGACAGAAGAGTGGCATATTGTACATATGCTTTTAGTAGCAAAATGATTACAATGTCATGTTAAGGCATTACATGTTTCACAAAGCTTGTGAATGAAATCACACAGTAAAACTTTGCCTTAAAGCACCATTTTTGGAAGAAGTATCGAATTAAATCCCAAATTCTGTGAAATCTGAAATTATTGAGGTAATGGTTTACATTTGCATAATTACATAGTCAATGCTTCAAAGTAATTGTATCAAGTTATATCATGTGCATAATGTAAAATGTTGCAAATTACTTTAAATTGCCCAGAATGCTTTAGAAACAATAGACTTTGCCTGTTTTAGGAAGTGAAATCTGAAGTAAAATTTTGTCTGTTGCATCTAAAGCAGGGGTTCTCAACCTTGGCAACTTTAAGACTTGTGGACTTCAACTCCCAGAATTCCTCAGCCAGCAAAGCTGGCTGAGGAATTCTGGGAGTTGAAGTCCACAAGTCTTAAAGTTGCCAAGGTTGAGAACCCCTGATTTCTAAAGTGTGCTGGATGGAAGTCAGAACCAAAGTTTAATTGTAATGGTGAATTCTTAAAAATCCTCATAAACAAGGTGACACCAACAAATTATATCTCCATGGCTTTAGGTCATATGAATTAACTCGGAAGGATAGACTATACAAGAACATTAGTCGAATGCAACAGATTTATGGATTCAAGACCTTCCATATTTTGCCTCAGACCTTCATCCTTCCAGCTGAATATCAGGAGTTTTCCAGTAAGTCTATGACCTAGATTACCAGTTCACAAGTAAAGCTAGAACTGAATAGGAAATTTTCATTCCATAATGTTTCTATACTTTAACCTAATATATTCCTGGAATTTTTTTTTTTATCTTTTGTAGTTGGAGTTTTTTTATTGGAAAAAAGCAGGAATGAAACAGTTCTCTAGGTTTAATTACTGCATGTACCCAAAAAGAAGATCAATTATGCCCTGCCATAAATAACCAGGGGTCATCTGATACTTGTAAAATTGAATCTTCGTGAGAGGGAGGATTCTTGAAAGAAGTCTAGAGTCCATAAATAGGCCTTTTACAATGTACTTTTCACAGTGTTCTAGAGTGCTCCTTGTCAATGATTTTTCTTAATCTGATAAAAATTAAAAAATAAAGTAAAAATAAATAAAAAAATAAAACTAATAATTAAATAATAAAGAAAAAAGAAAAAAACCCTCAAAGGACAGACTCACTGTACCACCACTTCTTTTTCTGCCATCAGTTTTCTATGTTTCTTTGTTTCAAAACAAGGGTTGGATTAGCAGGTTTTTGCTCTTCTCCTCAAACCAGAATAGTCAGTGGTAGGATTTCCAAATAACAGAGTCAGAATTGAAATCCTCAACATTTTTACGTGGGAATAAAAATGGTCAAACTCAGTGAAACTTACCATAGTATAAATGGATAAAAATTAATACTAGCTGAGCCTAGGAAAAATGCTCGTTGAGCTTCTTAGTGTTCCCTTACTGCTTCTTTTTCTTTATAAAATATTTTATTTTCAAGTAAATATGGTATTTGACACATACAGAAGTGTGTTAGGGTCCTAAACATTGATATCTTGAAATACAAACTGTGTGCCTGTTGCAAAGGGTGCACGCTAGAGTTTTGTATCATCTCCAGATTTCGTAATTGTTTATATGTGTCTGTGTCTATGACCAAATTCTGAATATTAGAATAGAATAGAATAAAGCTGGAAGGGACCTTGGAGGTCTTCTAGTCCAGCCTCCTGCTCAAGCAGGAGAACCTATACCATCTTAGACAAGTGACTGTCTAGCCTCTTCTTAAAAATCTCCAGTGATGGAGCGCCCACGATTTTTGGAGGCAAGCTGTTCCACTGGTTAATTGTCCTCACTGTCAGGAAGTTTCTCCTTGATTCCAGGTTGCTTCTCTCTTTGATCAGTTTCTAACCATTGTTTCTTGGAATATACAATATACAATTTTTTTAAAGAAGGAACATCACTGTTTCAGCTATTGATAATGGTTGATTGGTAAACAAGGTTGAGTGATATATACTAATAAACTATACTGAAAATCTCAAGTATTACTGACCAAAGCTATTATTGTTTGATGACATTTTTGTAGAAAATTTAATACTGAAGTATGTATTTGTCCTTTTTTTTTCTTTCTCACCTAGCTTCCTATTCAAAGGACAGGGGACCTTGGATAGTAAAACCAGTGGCTTCTTCTAGGGGACGTGGTGTCTATTTGATCAATAATGTAAGCATTAAAAAATCTAACAACTTCAAAATATTGCTAGTTTGATGACTCACCAGCTTCCATTTTCTCTGCCAAAATATGCTAGACTACTAGCAGTAGAAACTAACGTGCAGTTTTGAATCAATTTACTGTTTTGTCACTTGCTTAAATCTACAGTAAAAATATAGTCTTGAAAAGACAAAATGACTGGCTACTCCCATTTTTACTAGAAATTTAAGTCTGCTTAACTCTGAATAAGTGTTTCTAACCATAGTTTTCTGAATAAAGCATAACGGTCCTATTCATACTTAATGTTAAGCCACAATAGGTGATTTTGTATATTACACTAAGCTAAAAGCAAATAACTCACATTATGGCTTTATGTGATGTGGGAACCAGACCATTTCACTTTTACACTCCAAAGAAGTCAGTATATAAAATAGAAGCTGAAAATGAGGCCGGCATGTGAATATTTTTAACGTATAGGTGTATTATATCAGAAATTCATGAAAACATACTCTGGGAAGTATTCAGTGAGTAAGAGAAAAACTTTTAAGAAAAAGTTAAAGTTATACTGAGATGGTTGCATTCACATATGAAGTTTGTGTAGCCTCATTTTGTGGATTGATGACTAAATATACTTTGGAAGTTATATATCTTATAAATGGTATGGAATAAGCAGCTGGTTTCTTTAATTATCCTGGTAAGGTAGTATTTTGCAAAATAAATTCAACTACATAAGAACATTGTGGTGGATTTAGGTAAATAATATATTAAAGTAACTATAACTCCAGTAAGACTCTTTCACACAACTAAAAAGCAAAAAAAAAAAAGAGTTACATTGTGTATCTATCCTGAAGCTAATCATATAGGTGTTCCTGAAATGGGTATAACATAAAACCTGATTGTGAGTCATTACTTTCAGATAGTGAAAATTTTCATCTTCCCTCCCCCTCCCATCTCATCTAGCAAGGGTCAGTTTGCCTCGTCTGTTCTCAGCCTGGCTGTTTCCCATGGAATTAAAGAACTGCTGGCCAAGTGAATGAAGCAAATCTTTCCAAAGCTGGACAAGATCTGCTTCAAGAAAAAGTAATATGTGAACAAAAGGTCAGAACCTGGAAAAAGCTCTCAAACCATTTTCCATCAAGGATTGCTAAATTCACAAATATGTCATATTTGTTCCATGTAGGGAGCACGCTCAAACATTCTTAAGGGAAGCTTACTTAATTTTCTGTAATTAGGGAATGTTTTGTGTATGTATGTCATACTTGCTAAAAAACAAACTTCTCTCACTACAGTTAACTTGACCTATTGTTGCACATGATTCTTGGAATGATGGCTGCTGCAATAGAAAATAATATTTGATCCAACTTTTTCTTATTGCCATTAGAACCACATATATATATTTCACAAAGTTAGCTGAATGACTTTGGGCCAGTCGCACACACACAGCCCTAGGAAGAGGATAATGGCAAAAGACTTCTGAAATCTTGTCAACAGTACTGCATGGACTAGTTCAGGCAATTGCCAGGAGTTAACACTGACTCAAAGGTGAAGGAAGGAAGGAAGGAAGGAAGGAAGGAAGGAAGGAAGGAAGGAAGGAAGGAAGGAAGGAAGGAAGGAAGCTGTTGTTCTAAGATGTTTTTCATATATAATCTGAAGTTTATGTATATTACACATGCGACTTCTCTAGAATATATTACATTAATCTGGATCCATATCAGTCTATGTATGATGAAGCTAGTCAAAACTGTTTTGCCAATGATGAATGGGCCCATCCTTTTCTTCTATATTATAATGCTGTGCATGATATCTTGGATGTTTCTGCAGTTTAAGAACAATACTGCAATTCCCCTGTTTGGTGTAGAAAATATTTTTTTTTTAAAAAAGAAAGAAAATATTAAGATTCACTATGAAGTTTATTAACCCAATAAATATTCATTGAAAGGTAACGGGCAAAGTAACTTAGTGAAATCAGCATTCAACTTTTCAGTTCTTCATTCCATTGTTCTGTCTATCTCATTCTGTAGCCAAATCAAATTTCCCTTGAGGAAAACATCCTGGTTTCCCGTTACATCAACAACCCACTTCTAATAGATGGTGAGTTAATATTAAAATTTAGGGGTTTTTCCCCCCAGAAATTTGAAGATAATTGAGAGTGAATTAATGAACCATAAGAAAGCAGTTGTGTTTTCTATTTTGTTATTGTAGTAAATGCTGTATAATTGTTATCCAAGCTCAGGAAATATTTCTATTCACTGATACTTGACCGTTAGATGGTCCTTGAAAATATCTAATTCTATACTCTGTCCTTAAGTAGATTCAACGTTCTGAATAATTTCTAGCAACTAATTATGGTTGGGCCTGTTTTTAGACTTCAAATTTGATGTGCGGCTTTATGTTTTGGTGACATCCTATGATCCCCTTGTCATCTATCTCTATGAGGAAGGTTTGGCTCGGTAAGTCTTGATTTTGTGTTTTATGGTATATAAGCTGAATGCCTTACCATGTGAATTTGCAGTCATAAGTTTTCTTTTTATGTATACGTTAGGAATAGTAAGAGACTGGTTGATCTTACAGTTCTTCTGAACTTTTGAAAATTGAAAATTATGAAGAATAATTTCTAAATAAGTTAGTCCCTCTTACTTTAAGTTATTAAGTTTTCTACCTTCATCTCAGAGAAGTTAACTGTTTAAATGCTGAGCTACTGGTCTTCAAGTAGTGGTGGAGAAATTTTGAATATATGTAATAATATATGAAATATTTTCCTGCCCTTGGCGTCTGGTAACAGTAGCAAATTTTAAAGACTCTTTGCTTGTTGATATTTCTGCATTTCCTAAATTTTATAGAATTATAGAAGTAAGAATTGGAAGGGATACTGGAGAACAAGTGGTCTCTATTTCCACATCTTAGACAGATGGATGTCTAGCTTCTGTTTAAGCATTTCTATTCCAAGGCAGTCTACTCCATTGTTAGACAACTCTTAAAATAATGTTTTCCTGATCAAAATTCGCCTCCTTGTCACTTAGAACAATTGATTCTTGTCATATAGAACCCACTCTAACAGTTTTGTCCCATCTTCTACATGATACCCTTTTAGGTATCAAGATAGCCTTTTAGCTTTCATGTCTTCCTGCCACCTTTTATCCTAGCTAAACATTTGCAGTACTTTCAGCTGTTCTTCATAAGTTGTTCTTTTTGGAATCCTTATCTTCTTTTTTTTTTTTTTTCAAAAAAGTTTTTTATTATTTTCAACATAGAAAAAAACACATCACAGGTACATCACAATTGAAGACACCCCCCCACCCCCCACCCGGACTTCCCAAACCTAATCCCAGGATACTATTCAACTAAAAGTAACCTTATATTAATATCCCTAACTCCACAAAATATAATTCTACATAAGTAGGTGCAATATATATATATGTAAAAAAATTTTTTTTATCTAAAAACCTAACTTATATTCCACCATTCTATACTTATTTTGAATATAAAGAATCCATCTTCTCCATATTGATAAAAATTGTTCATTTGAATGATCCTTCAAATAAGCTGAAATCTTTGCCATCTCAGCAAGATGCGAAACCTTCACTCTCCAGTCCTCTATTGTAGGTAGAACTTTACTCTTCCAGTTTTGAGCTATCAGCAAACGGGCAGCAGTTAAACAATACAACATCAAGTTCGTTTCTTTTACATCCAAGTTATGTGTGATACCTAGGAGAAACAACTGAGGCA